CGTCTGCCGACATTGATGTGTATTCTCACCAGCTGATGTGAGATAACCCCAACGCTAGAAGCAAAAGTGCGCATTGAGCATCGAATGTTTGGAACTGACTCTAGGACTCGTCTGGGAGTTTACCCCGCAATCGCATCAGCAACACTACCTGAAATGAAGCGGCGGCGCATCGCAACGCTAGCAATAAGTATGATGGAATCACCCTTGATGATGATTGTCTATGCATGTTTACATGTTGCTCACAACAGGGCTGTCACGACAATGCATGATGTACTACCTGGCACCAAGAATGCCTAGCCTTCGTATGCTGTGCATACATATGTTTGTATGTACGCATGCATGCATGCATGTATGTGCGTATATATGTGCGCATGCGTGTGCATATGCGTGTGCATATGCGTATGTATGTATGTATGTATGTATGCATGCATGCATGCATGCATGCATGCATGCATGCATGCATGCGTGCATGTGTGTATGTAGACAGGGAGGCATGTAGGCTTGTATGCATGTATGTAATGTAGTTATGTACTATGTGTGTATGCATGGATATATATATATGTATATATATGCATGCATGTCTGTATGTAGGTATGTATGCATGTACATGTGCATGTATATAACTGTATATATGTACGTATGCATGTATCTATGTATGTATCTATGTAGGTATGTCTGTAAGCATGTATACATGTAGGTGTGTATGTGTATGCCGGCATGTATGTAGGTAGGCATGGGCATGAAGGCATTTGGGCATGTATGTATGTATGTATGTATGTACGTACGTACGTACGTATTCAAGACAACTTTTCTACGAATTTCTATGAAATTCACGGACGAGAGTTCTATGGACGCATGCTTCAAGGTATTGGGCAGAAAGGCACACATGTTCGAGTACATCTGTGTTACTCTCACCGTGGGTACGTTTTTGCATCGTATCCACGGGATATGATGCGAGATGGTTATGCATTAACTTAGGCATCTGCACAGCTGCTCTATCCTTATAGATTATGCTGTGCTTCACGGTGCCCCAAACTCGTGAAGCCTTTGAAAAGTTGAGCTCAAGGTTGCCAGACCGAACGGAGGTTATTGCCGCCAGCTCATTCGCTTCGAACAGGATGCGACAGGCCATGTGTGGGGGTTAGCCGCCAGCTCAAAATATGATTGGTGTTCAGGTCGGGGTTCTCAGTCGTGCTTGACAGCCGTACCCTCCGAGCATCAAGAGAGAGCTCGCTTGAGCAAATCACTTTGGTGTGTTTCTTTTGTTTGGTTCACGACTTGGAACATCTTGGAACTAAAGATCCAGCTCATTTACTAGGCGGAGGCTGTCGTGCTTGTACCGAGACTTTCCTTAATCTCTGTTTGGACGTTGAATCATGTCTAGGCGATCCTCAGCCTTTCAGCTTGCAGGCACAAGCACCATGACGCCTGTGGAATTCCGCAGCAAGCTCATGTGAGTTTTCCTTGCAGCATGCTACTTGCCCAGAGCTGTCAGAGCTTTGCAAAGTAAGACGAGCCACCACCAGTATTGCTATGAATGGGCAGCAGCTAAGGCGATGTAACTCATCTCCTCCAATGTATTTGACCGCTGGAAACAAAGTAGGCTCTACACATGTACCTCCATACGCAAAGACAGAGGTATAAATTTTTTGGCTATACCGAGGTTCATGCAGGACACTACGGTTTTCACAACGGTTCTAGTTGTAATCACAGGTCGTAGCAGGTCGTATTTCGAACAGGAG